GGGGGGGGGGGGGGGGCTACGAGACTCCTTCAGCACTAAAGGAGAGTTTGGGAAAAAGGCCTGGTTCCAGGGGATCCGGAGGACCTTCTCGAAAATTTTGAAAAATTGAGTCGTCCTCGTCCCAGGAGCAATTTTGAGCTTTTCTCGCCGAAAAATGAAATTGATCTAATTACAATTTCCAATATGAAAGATATTTTACGAGCTTACTTGACAAATATCCTCATATATCTTGGGAGGGGCCGAGTAGATTTCTGCATGGGGGGAGGAGGGAAGCTCCCTATCCCCTCGCCCCGCCCGTGCAGACCTCAGGAAATCGTTCCTATTTTATATTGACAATACAAGGATCATTTGGGAGGATCTAAAGGGGAAATTATTCCTTCCCCTCCCACCCTTGCAATTTAAAGTTGACCCGTTTTGGGAGCGATTTTAAACAATGTCGATCAATTTTGGGACACTGTCAGAGTTTTAACTATAGCCCCCCCCCCTTCTCCGCGAAAACTTTGCCTCCTCAGAAAAACTTTTCCTCTTCCCCTCATTTAGTTCAATGACCTGGATGAAAATTAGTCTCTGCAATTTTTATGAACACTATAGTGGTCTTTGGGGAAAAAATTGTAACAGTACTATATCAATGGCTAAACTCGAATCCCACCACACCTCAAAAGGCGGTGTCATCGCGAATTTCTTCTCGTGTCCATTTTAATTTTCAAGATAAACACCACTCATCATTATATCTAGGAATTTATTTCAATTTTGATTGACCCTTTTATACATATTCTGTAAAAATTTTAAGCCGCACTGAATTTCCATTCGTTCCTCTTTAAAAAAAAATTAAAAAATAATAATGCATTTTATATGAAAAGAGATTTTGAAACGCTATAAGTGAGTTCAGTATGTCAGAATTTACTCATCGTTATGAGTTTCACCAAACTGTTTTAAATCTCCCCTTTCGTTTTATTTTTTTGAAGGAGGGCAAATAAACATAATTTCTTGAAGTTTCAACAAAGTTTTTTCACACAGAGAAAAATCACGAAAATTATAAAGAATTTAATAATAAAGTAGGTATGATAGGCGGTCTGCAACATAGCAAATCGAGATACGTTGTTTTGGACTTTTGGACTTTCGCCGTCGAGTGGAGCTTGTGTTGCCTACACTAAAAATTGAAGGCAAACTGACACGGTGTTACAGTAACCTCTTCCCGCCTGGTAAAAGATAACTCTCATTTGTTTGATTCGTGTGAGAGAATGTGCCATTTCACGACTATACCACTATTCGACTACGAGGGAGCTTGTGTTGCCTACGCTAAAATTGAAGGCGAATTCACAAGCCGTCCATGAAATCTTTTCCCGTGTGGCGAAAAGCAATTTTTGACGAGTTCTGAGTCCCTCCTCATCGTCTGCTTTCTCTTTTTCTCTATTTCTATCTCGTTTCTCTTTATTCGTTTCTCCTCGCCCTCATATTCTCTTGCTCCCTCCTTTTATCTCCTTTTGGGACGTAAAATAAAACGAAAGGTTTAGTGATAAACACCGTAAAAGCAGCAACTACGTCACTGAGACCGTTTCTAGGTAAACGATAAAAAATGCGCTGGAACTCAAAGTCGCACTAACCTTCAAACAAGGCAAGAGCATACCATATACAAATTTGAATATAATTTTACATGATTCTGACCGAAATTATCGTACCTACAACAAAATCGCCAACAGAGACCGTCAGACTATTATATAGAATCAGTATTGCATACCCCTACTTGCAGCAGATAGATAAATTCCTTTTTCTTAGCTCCAGATATAGGGAAAAAGAGACGTTTCTGTGCGACATTATTTTCTTCTCTCTTACAAGAAAACGCGCCAGTCTGAGAGAGAGCATCATTCAAGACGAGGCCAACGATGATGTCATACTGCCGTGCTAAGGAACAACGCCGTATGAACCTTCAGACGTTGCCAAGTTTGCTTCGATTAAATACGAATTTACCGGGAAAGTTGCTAATATTTTTCCTCTAATTTTTCAGGCAATTTTTTCCACATTTATACATCTACAATATCTGGAAATTTCAAGGGATAAAAATCATAACTTTCCTCCAAAATACGTGTCTTATCCGCGGAAATTTGGCAACTCTCGAATGTTCATACAGCATTCTTCCTCAGCATGGCAGTATACGTATGTATGCGCGCGTGGATTTACGAATACGCCTTCATCCGACTAAGTAGGCAAAACGAGTTCCCTTGACTACATAGCTTTCGTGCAGCTTTTCAGAAGTGGAACTTGGAGAATATCGTTACGAACCATCCATCCAGAAGAGCGTTGCACTTGAAGTACTTTTATGTAAGTAGGTATCAGCGGTGCCGGCACCACTATTTTGCCGCAAAAGACGCTCTGGAGATCTCTTGGCGTTTTATTTGTGGGGTTGATGGCGAATATTTTTGCTTGAGGATTTTCATAAAATGACAATACCGTTTTGTATTGCGCAGTGTTGTAATTTTTTTCCTTCCCGGAATGTTTGAAGGTTCCATTCCAATGTCAGTAATTTACTTTGGCTTAGGGTGCCTGTCATTTTAATGTTCTTTTTACATTGTCAGTAAAATATTACATTGAGTCAGAAGTATGATGTACCGTTTTTTGCCTTTCCTCGCAAATGGCGATATATTTGCACAGTTAAGAGGCGTTCATAAAATGCTTAACACTGAAAATGGAATTTTCTGATACCCTCCCCCTTGCAAGACATCAGCACCAGTAACACATCGTCACTTTACTGCCATAGTATCACAAACGCCATGCGACGTTTCAAAATTTCCGCCGCCATTTCATCTTTTCATAGATAAATTATTCAACGAGGCTGTCCTAAAATTTCACTGAATTTTCTTTGCGCTGCCGATAAAACTCAGTGAAATTTTCAAAAAGATTCAACCAAGAATTTCTCTGTCAAAAACCCTGGGAAAAATTGGCAGTAGAATCTGTGTTCCAAAATACCATAGACCTACAGCCGGCTGTAAGATTTCCAATAGCTTCCATAGCCGGCTACACAGTTTCTTATAGCCGATGGCGATTAAGCAACAGCCAGGCGAGAAAGTGTATGCGAAAGGTTACTAATTACGGATGCTAGGACTTAGTGAGTTTTTGGACCACTGCTCTCTTTTTGGGCCGTAGTATCTTGATTTATTTTGCGAGGAAAGCTCCGTACTTTTGATGGATGCCATTGCCTGCCATTACTAATATATTAGAGCGCCTTCAGTTTCGTATGATACTGTGCAATACCGCTGGTGTGAAATAGTTGCTTCAAGCGCCGTGGCAGGCGGGCAGCCAGAGCGAAACGCGCATTGGCGCCTACAAGCCTAACAGGGATACCTCACGCGTTGCGCAATGCGTGAAGTATCCCTGTTAGGTTTGTAGGCGCCAGTTCGTCGCCGCTCCGCTTTGTGTCAGGCTCTAATATTTAATCTGGCGGAGTCAGCGTTATTCAACTCATAATTTTGAAATGTTTGCACATCCCTTATGGATTATTCTCATTTTAATTGATGAAAAAGAAAAAATGTATTAAAGGAAAATATAATGTTTGTTTTGTAAAGATTAAGGTGGTTCCGTATCAAACTTAATGATTTCCAAAGCACACGAATTTCTACACAATTTCTTATAGCCTTTTATAATCGATGGCAAAAAAGCAACAGCCTGGCGATAAAGTGTAAAGCCCGGCGATATGAACTATAGCCCGGCTGCATAATTTTTTATCGCTTCGTATAGCCCGGCCGTATGATTTTCTCCGCATTCTACAGCCAGCTATATGATTTTCTGTAGCCTTCTTTAGCCGGCCATAAAAATTCCAATGGTGTTTTGAAACGCAGCTCTTATCGCCAATTTTTACCAGGGAAATAAAACGGCGGCGGAAATTTTGAAACGTTGCATGGCGCTTGTGATACTTTGGGCGGAAGGTGACGACCCATCGTTTTGAATTTTACCCGCGTTTTGAAACTTTCAAAGGTCGAACCCCTTCGCACATTCTTTCCAAGACTACGACTTCCCCTCCCCTCTCGATGATTTTCGAGGGGGGATTTGCAAAGTTGTCCGATAGTGGACATCCCCAGCAGCTAGGAGAGGATCGACCGTGATCAAACTCAATTACTTCGGATAGTAACGAGTAACGAGTTGAATTGAGGAGCTCGCGATCTTCCCGACAGGAACATCCCGGAAACAATAATTAACTTATCTAAACTCTTCCGTTTTTTAGACCCCGCGCGCCGTTGCGCAGGGTCGCCACGCCGAGCCGACCAGCCTCGGATGAGCCGTCCGCACTGAGGAACAACGCCGTATGAACCTTCAAGCGTTGCCAAATCTCCACTGATAAAACACAAATTTATCGGAAATTTTGTAAACATTCCTCTTCTATTTTTTCAGATTATTTTGTTTGCAATTTAATCTAAAATGTTTGAAAATTTCGAGGAAAAATATTCATAAATTCACTCAAAAATACATGCTTTACCCGGGGAAATTTGGCAACGCTCGAGTGTCCATACGGCGTTTTTCCTTAGCACGGTAGCACAGCTCCACGCTGAAGCCGACTATCTCCTCGTCGAGGCAACGCAACCTTCTGCGAGTATCAACAGGGGGCATGGGGAGCTGGTAAAATCTTTCGCGGCCCGAGCCCAGTTATCTGCCTCCCGCGGCCTGGGTTTTAATTGCGTGTAGCGGGAGTCAAAGTTGTGTCCCCTGGGAAAATCCGGAACCGAGCCCGCGACAGCGTGGGATGTGCGAAATGTGTCCGGAAAATATCCGCCCTGTGAACGTGGAATCAGTGATTTCGGTGGTTACGCTCTCTTGTCTCTCGCCAAACTCAAAATAGCGCCCCCAGTTATCGCAGAAACACACCCCCTCCCCCCGCGTTGCTACATTTTACCGCCATCCCCTCCCCCCTCTCTTTCATATACTATACATAGAATTATGGCATCGGACTTTTCTTGTTCACTATAAACATGCGCGTATCCATTTGAATGTGAAATGACTCAAAATAAGGCTCTGGATCTTTTCGACACTTGTGATTCGAAAATATTAATATTAGCGACAACCTATTTACGATTTTTGACATATTTGAGCTTGATTTGATGGTTGACAAAATAACTGATGAAAAATATTTCGGTGGCTTGAAATAGGACAGATAAATTGACTGCAATTTCTGAATAATACGAAACACGATAGCTCAGTTTTGTACCAAAGGACATGAATGTGCAAATTGTTCGGGTTCAAATAGCTTCGTAAATAGTGTGGCTTTTCCTTTTCTCTCTGATCTGTTCGGCTGTTCGATCAGCACATGCGCACTGCGCGCGGAGAATTTTCTCGCGATATGTGCGCTGTTGAATAAGGATTTGCAAGTTTACATATCGTAACGCAACATCTGTAAAATGGAGTCGAATGTGATGCTTTGGCAGTTCTTGCTGGAAATACTGAAGAGCGAGAAATTTTACAACATTATTCGTTGGACCAATAGCAGGGGCGAGTTCAAGCTTATCGACGCCGAGGAAGTGGCCAGGATGTGGGGCCTCCGCAAAAATAAAACCAATATGAATTACGACAAACTCAGTCGAGCACTCCGTTACTACTACCAGAAAAATATCATACAGAAAGTTCTTGGTCAAAAATTCGTTTACAGGTCAGTCCTACGTTCAAGCTAGAATTCCTTTGCAGTCAGTGAAGTAAAGGACTGCATTACAGTAACACGAGCGTATTTGGAAAAAAGGAGGGCACAGGAGGAGATTTTTTTTTATTGGAATTTTTTCTCTTTTTAATAAATCCGACTTAAGAGAAAAGGCAGGACGGCAAAATTTCATGAAAAATAAAATCTTGAAATTTCACGTGACATATTTCATGAAATTTTAGAAAATGAAAGATATTGAAGAATACCTGTTCCTTCTCATGTTTCGCGAAAAGTAAAAATTGAGACTTTCTTCTATTTTTGTGTGTTTGAGTGCGGGTTGCATACTCTAGCTCCTGAAAAATATGAAATATTTCACAGTCTCGTGAAATTTCATGAAATATTTCACTGAAATTTCCAATCTTTCATTTCTTTCTTACGTTTCATGCCACCCTGGGAAAAGGGATTCTCAGCTTTAGCAAAGATGTTGGGTCCCGGCTAAAATTCAATCTATTCTGAGTAAGTACCTAAAGCTATCGGGAGTTGAATTGCAGTCACAAGCTGTAAATACAATTTTTCTTCCTTCTTTTTGTATCTAATTATCAATTTACCGGGAAGTATCTACACCGAACTTACGGTTAAACAGTTAATTTCAGTCAATTTTCATAATAACATTAATTTCAGTGATATGCCTGAGAAAAAATTTGCCAGATATTGAGGGCATTTTTATCTTTAATAGCCTCTCTATGTGTAACAAACATTTCAAACTAACAAAGAAGTTAATTTGAAAAAGACAATCGCAGAACTTCGTGACTGTTTTCCTGAGTAATCAAGATGAGGCAGGATATACAAACCCTGCATCGTCTCTAATAATAATACTCTCTGAATACATGGAAATAGTGTAAGGCCCTGCCACTGCCGTGCTAAGGAAGAACGCCGTATGAACATTCGAGAGTCGCCAAATTTTCCTCGATAAAACATATCTTTTTGACAACATTAATGCATATTTTCCCTTGAGATTTTCAGATATTTTAGATTAAATTACGGACAAAAATTTCTGAAAATTTCTGAAAATAAAAATCACAATTTTCCCGGTAATTTCGGTTTTTATCGGTAGAAACTTGGCAACGTCTGAAGGCTTATACGGCGTTCTTCCTTAGCACGCACTGGAAAAAAAAAAAACACATTGGATCTAGAGTCCAGACTCTTAAAAACATCGAGAAGAAAAAGTACTCTTGATTCAATCAGAATCTAGCTTAAATCAAGAACCAAGCCTCTTAATTTAAGCGGATTTCGTTTTGATTCAAGCAAAAATCCGATTTAATCAAGAGTATTTTTTCTTTTCAGTGTTTTCAAGAGTCTGGACTCTAGATCCGATGTGTTTTTTTTTTCCAGTGCGGCAGTCCACGTCTCTCAATATCCTGGCTCGCGGTATGCGAGCATATTTTATTTTATTATCTTCGTAAATACGATGCTTTGAAAGGGAGTTTTCATAAAATGAGGTCACCGTAGACAGGTTTTGGTATTTTTATTGCGCGATATGGTGGTTGAGGAGTGCGACCCCACGTGGGAACTTTAATAATTTCGGGAAATCTAAATGAGGAGCGATGAATCCCCAAGGTTTGATTTTACGCGGGTAGACGTTCCGACTTCTGGCGGCACGTGTGCGTGTGCTCATTCCAGGAAGTATGTTTGTAATGATGGAGTCCTTGCAAACTTTCCCCGGAGACGAATCAAAATTTTGAAATTCGGATGAAATCTCTCGCTCGACGAGTGCCGATAGAATATATCTCTCCCTAAAGTTTGAGCTCTTACCATTGATCAATCCACTGCCCACGTGACTTAGGTAGTTCCTCAATCATAGGTGTAAACCGTTCAACGTGCACTGAAAAAAAAATATCGGTGTACTTACTAAGAAAAGGGTAAAATTACCAAGAATTCCGGGTTCTATTTGATCCCTGTTTTTTCTTGGTAAAATTACCATTTATGGAATTGGTAATTTTACCGAGAAACCTCGGTAAAATTATTGAACTTTCTCGGTAATTTTACTGTACTTTGGTAAAAACGCCAATATTTTTTATCGACTGTGGTAGAATTACCGAGATAAAATGGCAAAGTTACCGGGAATTGATCACCAATAAAAGTGGTATTCTTACCTGAAAAAACAGTAAAAATACCGGTTTTTAGGTAAACTTACCAGTCTGTCTTGGTAAAGTTACCAATACTTGGTAAAAACAGTGAGATGGTAAAGGTACCAACGGACCTTGGTAAAAACGCCGAGAATTTTTTTTCAGTGTGGCTGAATCGCAAAACGGATAAACTTTCTATGTAGAAGAAGAAAAAATAATCATGTAGAACCGCAACTTCCGCAAAGAAACCACGAATGTAGAGACCACATATTCATCCGAATTTCTCAAATCTGACCTGATTGAAGTCGTTTGAAGTATGATTGAGGGCTTGAAGGACAAGGCGCATAAGTGCAGTGTTTACTATTTTAAGAACTGCGTGTTTGAAGTTTCGAAATCATATGAATCCAAAAGAAAGTTCAAACTGACTTTTAGATGCTTAAAAATTGGAATTTGGGAGCGACTTTTTCTGAGATCATACTAAAGACTAGTTTTACTTGAAGTCATTTATACTTGAATTTTTTCATAAATTTCACTTATGCGCCTTGTCCGCACCAGGCCCCTCAATTTACCCTTTGAGTTCATTCTATAAATTCGTCCAAGATATGTTGAAAGGTGTTAAAAAATTGATTTTAAGAAACCTATTCTGAGGTGAAGCTTAACACTTCAATTTACTTTCCCTTCAATTTTTCACAGAATTTCTACCAATCTGACTGGTGCGATTTTCCTACTTGCAGTTTTCAATCAACCGTGAAAAACAGAACTTGGGGTTTTTCCTACCAAAAATAAGAAACAACATTTGAGGGGCTTCGAGGACAAGGCGCATGAGTGCAGTTTTTGAAAAAAAAAAATGAGATATGGATCTGGGCTGGATTTACCTACTTGCCGCCCATGGGCCGCCTGTATTTTTCCGCCCCCTTCTCATTCGTTTTAAACATCAATAAAAATTATCAAGTGAACGTGCCAGCGGGGGAGGGGTGCGTAAGACGCGTTTACTCGTGTTGAACACATTTTTTGGGAAAGCCCTGTCTATACTACTATCAAAAGGTCACGGAACGGAAGTTCCGTGAAAGTTCCGTGACTTTTTGCCAGGCGCGAAAGTCAAGTTTCGTAAACCTATCTCTAATGGACCAGGCCTTCCATTCATAAGAAATGATCGAACAAATTATGAAAGAACAAACACAAAATTTCGTTTAATGATTTTAACTTCCGCCGCCGCGCCGCCCCGCGCCGACCGCACCGTGTTTGACGCAATGCGTGAAGTATTTACGCAGTCTTGTAGGCGCTATGCATTTCACGCTAACCGCACTGTCTATGGCGCAATGCGTGAAGTTTTCATGCATTCTTGTAGGCGCTATCCGTTTCACGCTGACCACAATGACCGCGCTGTGTTTGCTGCAATGCGTGAAGTATTCATGCAGTCTTGTAGGCGCTGATATGTGTTACATGCCGATTGCCGCGCCGAGGGCTTCTTCTTTTCATCTCAATTCCTCGTCATCATTTCTCCCTAAGTCGCGCCGTTTCAGGCCAAATTGTGTGTTTGGTTTCTCTCTTAACTCGACTAATTAAAGGTGCTGTCTCTTGTATCACTGAAAGACGACAAAATTAGAAATTACTATACTCTCACTGCTCTCAGGAAATGAGAGATTTTGTAGCCTTTTCTCGTTTGTAATTTTCTTTTCTAAATTCGATTTTTTTCATACCTACATTTAAAAAAATTGCAAAATTTGCCGCCCCCTAGATTTGCCGCCATGGGCCGCGGCCCATGTGGCCACCCCCGTAATCCGGCCCTGATATGGATGGTTTCTAGTAGAACTAGTCATAATGCATATTTTCTGAAAAATTCGTTCCCAAATTTCAATTTTTATGCATCAACAAGTCTGTTTGAACTTTCTTTCCGCCATTAGGATCCGCATATAATTTTGAAACTTCGAACACGTATTTCTCGAAATAGTAAAAACTGCACTTATGCGCCCCGTCCTCCAAGCACCCCATTTGGTGTGCAATCGATTGAAAGTGGCGGGATCAAATCGTAAAAATTAGACCCATTAGAATTAACAGCTTGTTGCAAGCAGCTCCCTCGGAAGCGAGGAAATAATTTATCGTATCATCATTTTCCAATCGCACGAAGTCGGTCTGGCCAAGATTTCTCAAAGTCGGTGGAAATTAAATAGCGGTAGTTTAAATATTGACTCGGGCTGCTGCGATGTCGGAGGTGGCGGGTTGTGGGCGCAGCTCCGAGCTTTGCATGGACCAAATGCCCCGTTTTTAGAGACAAATCGTGTCGAGGCTAATTGCTGAATTGCAGTCGCAGCCTGAATGCTTAAACCCCAAACCCACTCGCAAACGCGGCGTTGCCGGCTGCGTTCGCCGTTTTTGAAGGAGCTAGAGCAACTGGACTGCATTTTGCAAAAAGGAACCAAGAGCATTTCAATGTTGCTCAGATTGTGCAACTTAAATCCTTTCGAAAAATTACAGAAATCACGAAGAAAATTACCTTTACGGCGGTAATTTTTGTCGTAAATTTAGTTTATTGGGAGTAAAGATAAAACTCGTTTAAATGATCAGTTTCTATTTGGATTGCATTTTCAAAAAGGAACCACAAGCATTCCAATGTCGCTAAGATTGTGCAACTTTTTCACCTTGCAAGTAGAAACTGATTATTTAAACAAGTTTTATCTTTACTCCAAATAAACTAAATTTTACGACAAAAATTAATTCCGTAAATGTAATTTTCTTCGTGATTTCTATATTTTATTTTGAAAGGATTTAAGGTGCACAATCTGAGCAACATTGAAATGCTCTTGGTTCCTTTTTGCAAAATGCAGTCCATTTGCAAGGTGAAATAAGTTGCACAATCTTAGCGACTTTGGAATGCTTGTGGTTCCTTTT